CGAATGTGATATCGAGTGTGAGATCGATTGTGAGATCGATAGTCAGATCAATTGTGAGATAGATCGAGTGAGATCGATTGTGAGATCGATCGAGGGAGATCGATCGAGCGAGACCGATACTGAGATCGATAGTGAGATCGATAGTGAGACCGATCGAGTGAGACGTTGGTTCCTCCCCCCCCCGAACCTCCTTATCACCCGAAGGGTGGTCGTATAGGTATACCGTTCTTGCTTCTCCTGGTGGCAACGCCCCCGCGTCGTTTTCGGACGTCATCCGTTGGCTCGTGCAGGTCTTCCAGCATCCAGGCGGCTCCCAGCTCTGCCCTGGGGAGGAGAAGGTGCAGATACCGCTGCTTGGTCCTGGAGAGCCCACGTCGCCACGGCGGAATGCTCCTCGGAGTTCTGGTCAGAGGGCGTCACAGGAGAGGCCCGAGGAGCAGCGGTATCGGTATCGTTTGGTTTTCCCAGTGGCGGCAATGGCGACAACGTCCTCGCGTCGTTCTCGAGCGTTTCTTGCGTTGGTTCTTGGAGGTGCTGCAGCCTTCTCCGGGTGGTTCCCAGCGCTGCGCTTTGTCGAGACCGAGGCGGGGATGCATCCGTCACCACCACGTGGGGGATCGACCTTCGCGTCGTTTTGTTGATTTTATCTTTTTGTTGTGCGTCGGTCCTTGGAGGTTTTCCAGCCTCCAGGAGTTCATCGTCGCTGCGCATCGTCTCGAGGGAGTCAGGGCTCCGGTGACGGGGTCACATCAGACGGGGGAACGGGGAACGCCGACTGCCGCGCTTGGATACAGTCGAGCATCTGATTAAGAGACCTCCTCCCGAAAAGCCGCGCCAGCGTTTCCTAACCAACTTGCCAGACATCAGGCCCAGATTCTTGAGCATACTCGCCCGTCCAGTGTCAACAGCAGGAATGGCCCAGGCTTGGTGAAAGGGGCTTCAGAGAAGCTGTCCCAGATTTCTTACATGATAGTTTCTTTGTTATATATCAGACGTTCCGCTGCATGCCCTCGTTTGGGGGGCCCTGGGCTCCGCAGAAGGAGGCATAGTAAACAAGGGCATGTTTGGAAGCCCATGGCCTCGTTATTCTGAACAAGGAGAAGTAATCGAGGAGGCAAGAGGAGGGAGGAGGAGGAGAAGGGAGGCGGAGGAGGGAGGAGGAGGAGGAAAAGAAGGAGGAGGAGAAGGGAGGCGGAGGAGGGAGGAGGAGGAGGAAAAGAAGGAGGAGAAGAAGGGAGGAAGAGGAGGAGGGAGGAGGAGGAGGAGGAGGAGAGGAGGAGGAGGGGGAGGAGGAGGAGGAGGAAGGAGGAGGAGGGAGGAGGAGGGAGAGGAGGAGGAGGAGGAGGAGGAGGAGGAGGAGGAGGAGGAGGAGGCGGAGGAGGAGGAGGAGGGAGGAGGAGGAGGGGGAGGGGGAGGAGGAGGAGGAGGAGGAGGAGGAGGAGGGGAGGAGGAGGAGGAGGAAGGAGGAGGAGGAGGAGGAGGAGGAGGAGGAGGAGGGAGGAGGAGGAGGAGGAGGAGGGAGGAGGGGAGGAGGAGGAGGAGGAGGAGGAGGAGGGAGGAGGAGGAGGAGGAGGAGGAGGAGGATGGGAGGGAGGAGAGGAGGAGGAGGAGGAGGAGGAGGAGGATGGGAGGGGGGAGGAGGAGAAGGAGGAGGAGGAGGAGGAGGAGGAGGAGGATGGGGGAGGAGGCCCCGCGCTGGGGGCCCCGAGGGAGCTCCCGGGGCACCCCGAGCGGCCCGAGCGACCGCCGGACGACCATAGCCGTGGCTCTCAGAGGCTGGACCTCCGACGATTTGCGCGGCTCTGCTGCGCCTGTGCGCTTTTGTTCCTCGGCCCCTCGGCCTCGGGGGCCACGGGGGGCCCTTCAGACGCTGGCCCTTGGACTCGGCTGCACATGGAGGAGGAGGCGGAGGAGGAGGAGGAGGAGGAGGAGGAGGAGGAGGAGGAGGAGGAGGAGGAGGAGGAGGATAGGAGGGAGGAGGAGGAGGAGGAGGGAGGAGGAGGAGGAGGCGGAGGAGGAGGAGGAGGGAGGAGGAGGAGGAGGCGGAGGAGGAGGAGGAGCAGGAGGAGGAGGAGGCTGTCAGAGGCTGGGCCTCCGACGATGTGTGCGGCTCTGGTGCGCCCGGGCGGCCTTTGGTTCCTCGGGCCCTCGGCCTCCTGGGGCCCGTCGTCGGACCGCTTGGGGGGCCCTTCAGACGCTGGCCCCTGGACTCGGCTGCACTCGGCCACGCGCAGAGGGGGGTACGGTCGGACCGAGGTACAAGATCGAGGTCTGTTCGGGGAGGGTACCCTAGTGTTCTTCGTGTTTGTTGGATGCTCTTGTGCATCCTGGGGAGGGTACCCTTACATGTTCTGTGTGTTTTGGCCGACGGAGTGTCTCATGTTCTTGAGGGATGTTCTTCTGGCCTTGGTCCAACCGTAGGGGGAGGAGGGCAGGCTTCTCAGAAGCACCCCTGCTTGTTTCAGGCGATCGCAGACTTGGATTGAGGGGGCGTGGATCAGCGACGGGTCCCGTTTCCCACGGTAAATCGCAGATTGCCGCCGCCGAGCGAGGCGCCACTGGCCGCACCTTGGGCAGGGCACCTCCCCCGATCCATGGATTTCGCGACCGCGCGCCAAATCCATGGATCGCTAATCCATGTTCGCGCGCACCCGATTCCCAGAAGACGCGGGCCTTCTCTGTAGATGCAAGGCCGGTGCTTTCTAAGAAGCAGCCCCCTTCTAACAAGCCGCTCCCCCCTCCCCCCTACCCCCCTCTGCGCGACGCCAATGCACATGAGCGTGACCCTTCGCCGGAGTGACCGCTGGCGCGCGGCTTTCGCGGGGGGCGCCGCGGGGCCGAGCCCCAGCGCGCAGCCCGCCGCCGGCGCACCGCTCGCAGCGGCCGGCGATGGCCGCGCAGCAAAGGGCACTCTTTGCCCGGGGTCGCTCCTGCGGGTAGCCAGGGGACAGAGAGCCGCCCTTCGAGTCAGTATCGTTTAACCGACCCCCATCCTCATCTCCATCCCCTTCGAGACCCCCACCAGATTACGCCCCCAGTTGGGGATACACCCCTGGAAACCCGAGGGATGCGGCCCATATCCCCATCCAGGGGGCGAGTCGGCCAGTGGGGCCCAGGCCCGTCGAGGAAGCCTCCTGGGGCCGCGCCCTGAAGAGTCCCCGTGATTGTCGGATGTCCGGGGCGGCGGCCGGGGGCAGAGGGCACCCCGATCTGGTCGACGGGCCCCATGTCCTCCAGCCGCTACAGCTGCAGGCCCCTTGCTCCCTTGCCCTTCTGCCTTGCCGTCGACTTGCCCGTGTCCCTTTCCGCCCCCATGGACTCTGGCGAGGCTGTGGCGGGCGACGGGCTGGTGTCCTCCGCCTCGCGCAGGGTCTCGTTGGCAAAGAGATGGCCCCGCTTGTACGCGCCGAGCTGCCGCTTGTGGCGATGCTGGTTGTAGTCCACGTCGTCCCCCTGTTCTTCTCTGGCCTTGTCCGCGGCGCTGTCGGCATCCGCGAACCTGCCGTGGGCCTCCACCGCGGCTGCGAACTCCTTGGTGTCGGAGCCGCCGTCGTACATGCTGCTGCTGCCCGTGCCGAGCTGCATCTCGCTTTGCTGCTGCTGACAGAAACCTTCGTCGTCCTCCTTGGTCCTGCCGACGGCGCCGTCCGTGTCCATTATCTTGCCATGTTGTCTTCCACCGCGGGTGCGAGTCGGAGTTGCCGTCGTACTTGGTCTTAGTGATCTTGCAGCTGCAGCCTGAGCGAAGCCGGTCCTGATTGTGCTTGGGGTTGCAGCCCACGACGTATTCCGTGACTTTGCAATCCTGATCGGGCCGCGCTCCTTTCGTGAAGCCCGCGATCCACACATTGCCGATGCCCACGCCGACCATGGCCTTGCACCCATTGCTCGTCCAAGGTGGTGCAGAGGCTGGTCTCGCCGTCGGCCGCGAGGCCTGTGCCGTCGATGCAGCTCCCGTGCTTCCACGCCGTCTCGCCCTCGCTTGCCACGGCGGCTCGCGCAGCACCTTCCCCTGCGCCTGCGCCGGCCTCCTCGCCGGTGTGCGCGCCGCGGGCGGGCCCGGCACTCCACGGCCTTCACTGCCGCCGCTCCCTGCGCCGGGCGCCCTGTGGTCGCCGACGCTGCGCCGGGCACGGGCCGTGCCCGACACGGCTGGCCGCCTGCCCTGCGCGCGCACCTGCTGCGAGGCGCTCACGGGGCGCCGCTGCGCGCACCGCCTCGCGCCCAGTGGCCGGCCTTCCTCGCAGACGTCCCTGCAAGGCCGCAGGCGCACGGTGTGCGCCTCCGCCTCCGCCGCCGCCGCCGCCGCCAGAGCGGCTGCCGCCTGGCGGTCCACTCGCGGACAGCAGCCGCAGCAGCTGGCACAGCCGCCCCCGCCGCCTGGGCTGCCCAGGCGGCCGCCGCGGGCGCAGCCATCGCGCGCCGCCGCGCCCCCGAGCAGGCGTCGCAGGCTGGGAGTTCTTGAGCCCAAGTGGCGTGCGGATCTGGAGAAGGAGGAGGAGAAGGAGGAGGAGGAGGAGGAGGAGGAGGAGGAGGAGTCGGAGGAAAAGGAAGATAAGGAGGAGGAGGAGGAGGAGGAGGAGGAGGAGGAGGATTATGAGCAGGAGGAGGATGACGAGGAGGGAGGAGGAAGAGGAACGTGTTGCAAGCCCGTGCGCGTGGCGACTTGGCATTCATGCAGAAGTTTCCCTGTAGCGCGGAACCGTGGCGAGACCTCACACCACGAGCATGCAAAACATTGCTTCCTCCTTGTGCCCACCACCCACTAACTACCTCATCGGGTGGGAGGTCGAGGAGGATCCAGAGGAGGAGGATCCGGAGAAAAGGAGGAGGAGGAGGACGTCGAGGAGCAGGAGGAAGATACGGAGGCCGAGGGGGAGGAGGAGGAGGAGGAGGAGGAGGAGGAGGAGGAGGAGGAGGAGGAGGAGGAGGAGGAGGAGGAGGTCGAGGAGGAGGAGGACGGGGGAGGTACAGCAGCAGCGGGCGCCCCCCCTGGGCAGGAGGACCCCGCCCGCGCCGTCTTCCCCGCCCCTGGGCTCGTCCAGCGCCTGGTCGGCTGCTTGGAAGGCCCACCGGCGGCGCGCCCGCCGCGCCGCCCCACGCCGCGGGCATCAGCAGGGACACCGTTTAGGGGGAATAGGCTCAGGTACTCCAAATCCCTCCAACTGCGACCTAATAGTTATTCCAGGTCCCCCTGTTCGATGGGGCGCCGTGATAAACTGGACCCCCTAGGCTCCAATCCAAAGAAAGCGCCCTAATAAACCGGACCCTCCCGGTTGCTAAAAAAACGCCTTCACAAACGGGACCCGGGGGACGACTAACAAGGGATTTGGAGTGGGGATGCGTCGAGATGATGTTTGGGATTCGAGGTTCGAGGTTCTGGACGTTCCCGTCGGTTCTCGGCGGCTCTCTGGCCTCGGGATGCCCGCCGGCAGCTGCGCCTGGCCGAGAGCGTCCCGGGGGTGCCCTGATCGTCCCGAAAGGCCCGCCTGAGAGCCGAGCTATGACCCGAAGACAAGACGATCAGGGGCAACGCAACGCTCGGGGGGGATAGGCTCAGGTGGGGGCGCATCGACCCCCAATCGCTCATGCGTCGCCGGCGACGGCACGATAGCTCACCCCGCCCAGGAGCATGCGGTTTCGTCGTCCGGGGGCCTACCGCTGATCTCTCGGCGATGTGTCGCCGACTCCGGCCATCGGCGGCCAGCGACGAAAGGGGCGAAGAGGGTTTCCGGACGCTTTCGTGGCTCTGGAGAGTTGTCGCGCCCTGGGGCCCCGAGGACCGAGCGTTGCATTGTGTCGCACAGAGGCGAGCGCGCCCGGCTTCGGGCCCCAGGGCCAGCGCAGCTCGATGCAGCTCGAAACGTGGCGCAGTCAGATGGAGCCCAGGCTCGCGATGCTGCAGCCTTTTTCGCGGCGTTGCAATTTTTTCTCGCAGCGTCGGACTCCAGAGGTCCGGCAGCTGCGCCTCGTCCGGGCCGTCCTGGGGCTTGCCCAGGTCGTCCCCGAGCTGCCGCCAGAGGCCTGGGGCATATGTGGCCCGAAGGCCATGCGCTCTCACGCCGTGAGCCGACGCCCGGCGCGAGGTGTTCGTCGCTGTTTTTTGGGGCTCTCGGGGCTTTCGCCACGAGAGGCCGGTCCCCCTGGAGGGTGTCCAACCCCGCCCCTGCGAAACCCACCATGTCATCCTCCGCCATCTTTCTTCTCGCGCTCCCTTCCATCCTTTGCCCCTCCCTCCCTCCCCCCCTCCTCACTCTCCCTCTGTCTCTCTCTCTATGTCTCTCTCTCTCTCTCTGTCTCTCTCTCTCTCTCTCTTTTTTGGTTTCTCTCTCTCTCTCTGTCTCTCTCTCCTCTCTCTTTCTTTCACTCTCTCTCTCTCTCTTATGTGTTCCCGTCGCGCGGCCGTTGTCTTCCTTCAGTGGAAAGCCTTCCCCAGTCTAGACCTGACTGCTGGTGGCGGTGCTCGTCGTAGGGGACGGAGGGTAGTAACAACAAGAGAACGATCATCGTCCCTACCCCCCCAAAGAGGAGGCGGAGGAGGAGGAGGAGGAGGAGGAGGAGGAGGAGACACCAAAGGCCTCAATCATCCTTGCCTCTGCGGGTGCTCGCGCAGTCACCACGGGCGCCCCCGCGCCGCTCTTGTACGGGATTGCGGCTTGCGTCCTTACCGGCAAAGAGAAAGAGGGAAGAAAGCATGTACGCTTGCGTCCGAGCACGCCCAAGGCTGCTGAGTATTCCTGGCGGCGCGCACAAGAGGGTAGAGGGAGGGCGTATTCTTCGTAGAAGGCGGTTGTTTCTTAGAAAGGGCTTGGCCGCCCTTCTAAGAGAAAGTATTCCAACAGCCTGTCAGAAACACGGAACTGCTTCTTAGATAGAAGGGTAGCGTGTCGACCTCCTTCACCGGGACGGCCGCAACGTCGCGCATTACGCGCCGGAGCGCAGGGGCAGCCTTGGGGCAGCATCCGCGCGCGCCCATCTGAGAAGGTCGGTGCGTAGACAGCGAGCCCAGTGTCCCCCTTCCTGTCCTGCCCCTCCCGCCATTTCCACGTCTTCCAGAGCTCGTCCGACGCCCCACTACCCCATGCCCATCACGTCTCTTGTTTTGTTCCGGTCATCGGCGGTGCACACTACCATCTCCTAGCCGTCGAGTTTCGCGGTGCTTCGCGGGCCCTGGAGGAACACGTTGGGGCGTGTTCGTCTCGCGCACAAGGTGGTCGGCAAACGCATTCGAACAGCAGCGGTTGTTTGTAGCCACGCTTATAGAACCAATCGAAGTGAGAGCAGCGCCTTGCAGGAGGCGACCAGTCCGCAAAGACACCAAACAACTGACACGTCATCGTCGCTGGGGCCCGTCGGACAAGGACATCCTTCTGCGCGCACTACAACAGAAAGGGCGCTCTCTGCGTACTTGTGCATGCGCTTCTTGGTTGCCACGCAGTCGAAGATGTTTTGGCTGAACATCACGTTCTGGCGCGCGCCTACCTCCAGAGCGATGGTGCG